ATATAATTTAATATATATTAATTTAAATTATTAATATATTTTAGTTACAAATCAAACTTAATTATTAAATTTTTTTCATTTATTATAAATATAATAATATATATGAAATTATTTAAATATATTTTTTATATTTCAACATTTTTTAATTAACAAAAATTAAAAACCACGAAAATTTAAAAAAAAATACAAATTAATTATATGTACAAATAGTTAGAAATGCAATTAGAATTTATTATTATTTTGTTAGAGGTTAGAAATTATTGTATTATAGATTAGAATTGATTATGTTATAAATTAGAATTTATTACTATTATGTTAGAAGTTAGAAATTATTATGGTATATATTAGAATATATTACAATTTTCATGTTCATTTAGTTAAATTTAATCATTTATCAGTTTAAGATAATAATAAGTTTAATTAATGATAATGTGATATTCATCTTGACATACATAGTGAAAGTGTGTTAAAGCATGGATCATTTAGTTCCACATTGATTTTGAAAGCAAAAAAGAATGCAAAAAGTAGCTATAAAGGTATGAGACAATTCCACATCGATTATAAACACAATAATAAAGGCCAAGAGTGGCTATAAAAGGTTGGGAGAGTGAAAACTTTGATTTGCAATTATCCCACATTGAATGAGAAAGTTCAATGTAAGGCAATGAATAGATATATATGTTTTAGCAACTTGCCTTAATAACTATTAATTGGTTTGTCTAATAATTAATAGCAGTAAAAAATTATATATTTTTTTTAATATTTAATTTTTTTTTTTAAAAAAAAAATGAGCCGGCCTCGTGCGGCCGAGCGAGTTGCGGCCGCTATTACCGGCCGCGTGCGGCTGGCCGAGTTGCGGCCGCAATCAGCGTTCGGCCGGTCGAGTTGCAGCCGCAATCAGCGACAAGCCGATTCCAAAAAAAAAAATTAAAATGTTGGCTCCAATCCGGCCGGTTTGACCGGCCGACCGCCCCATGACTGGTCTTGTTGGATAACATTTTTTCGGCGGAATTATTTGGAGGTGTTTTCGGAATTTTTCGGTGCTCGGTTCGGCCGATAAATAGGTTAGAAGGTGGGACATTATTTTTTTAAAAAAAAAATAAGAATAAAGGGCAAAACTGTCATTTTAGGGTGCGGTATTAGTAAAATGGGTGCGGTATTTAGCAATTCAGAAGTTTGTTTCGAAATATAGTTACATGCTAATTGGTATGTAATCTATGTTCGTGTTTGCTAATGAGTTTTTTTGGTGTTAATTTCAAGGTTTGACACATGAGAACAACTAATTCCATTGGTTGATAATGAAATGCTTGAATAATAATAATAATAATAATAATAATAATAATAATAATTATTATTATTATTATTATTATTTCTAATATGTTGGGATACCTCCCGTTGCAAAAAAAGTAAAAAACAAAAAAATAAAAAACAACAAAAAAAGTTATTTTTTTTAAGCAAATTTTCGAAAACCTCAATACATAAGCCGTTTAGGTTAGATGATTGTGAAAGCCCATCTCACGCCCCGTTAGCCCGCGTCTCTCATCCCTCCAGCTCGACCCGTATGCGCGCGGCCCAATTTTTTCGACGTCCAGGGAGGCCCAGGCGTCCAGCCCAATTCTCAACATGCGGTCCACAAACATCAAGCTCGGCCCAATTCCCACCAGCCCATCGCGTAGGGAAAGGAATAGCACGCGGGCTGAGACTAGTCCGCGCGGCCCGCATCTCTCACAGCCTCAGCCCACGTGTGGCCCAGCCTCAACCCGCTTCTCTCATAGCATCCGGCCCGCATCCTCCACAGTGTTCGGCCCGTGCGACCTGCCCCTCAGCCCACGTCCCTTAGCCTTGCCATCAGGCCCAACAACGCGGCCCAATCTTCCAGCATGGTCCAACCAGCATATGTGTGGCCCAGCGAGTGTCCAGCAGCCCGGACAGCGCACCCAAAGTGACCGGCCGTGGGTGAGCCTCGGAGAGGAGATTTCGATGGTGTCCTTGGTTTGAAGTGGGTTGCCGAAAATCGCCGAAAATTTGGAAAAGAAGACCGGAGTTAATCAAAAATATATCTTAGATCCAAAAATTTTGACCGGCTTTGATGGCCTTCTCAGTCGAACTTTCGCTTGAAATTTAGGAAGATGACGAGCATGAGAAGAGCTTCGTGATGATATAAAAAATTTTCTGATCGGAGGACTTTGGCCGGCAGCCAGCGACGGAAGAGGCGGCGGTGGCCGGTGAAGGTAGGTTTCTGAAGGCTCGCCTCAGCGAGAGGATTCCAACGCTGCTCTCGGATTTTCGATAGCCGTCACGGATCACTAGAAAAATGGGTTTGAAGGTCGGATGTTGACCGTAATTTCTTAGATCCTGAATGATTGATCGGCAAAATTGAAGATCTCTCGGTGGAATTTTCGCATGAAATTTTAAGGGGAGAATCACCTCGATGAGATCTACCCGATGACATAAAATAAATTATGTCGGAGCATCTTGGCTGGCGGTCGGCGGCGGCGGTTGCGGTGGCCGGTGGAGATGAAGGAAACTTGAAATTTTTTGGACGGTCGGAACTCCGTTTGCCATGGTTGATTCTTTGGCTTTTCGAACAGCTCCCACAGACGGCGCCAATGTTAGTGAAATGGATTTCACCCGGGCTCCTTCAACACAAACGACCTCCGTACCTACAAAACTCAACGCCGGGAGGGGTCTCGGCGTTGAGCCTTTGATACTTAAGTCAGTACTCGTCAGAGTCAGAGATCAAGAGTGCAAGATGAGAGTATAGAAGTGAATATAGAGAGAATGAGGTTTTGGTAGACCCCTTTTATAGGGGAAGTGTACCTTAGTGGCCAAGTTGGGCTTGACCAATACCATTATGACATGTGCCTTAATCCATGTGTAGACTTATTCTCCAATATATTTCTTCTTATTCATTAAATCCGGTCTAGTATAATATTGCACTTC